TTACAGAAGAGAACCTTTGGGGAGAGAAGTTGCTGGGATGGGGAATGGAGACACAGGGAGAGGTTGGGAAAGGGGGCATTTAGAGAAAAAAAATAAACAACAAAAAAGGTTTCCCTCCAGCTCCTGTCCATTAAGTCATGTTGTCCTTGGATATGGTCCAATTGTTTTTGGCTAGCAGGGCAGGTTTCCCAAAACGAGCAGCGGTGCTGAGGGCACCAGGTCCCTGCATCCGTGGTGGCCATCCCTGCTCTGCCAAGGATGTCCTCGCCCCCTGCCCCTCCCTCGATCCAAGGGCCTAACCGACCTCCTAGGATCTTAGCTTCAAGGAAAATATATTTATTTATATATAATATATATATTTGTGTGTGTCCTATCACCACCCACCCACACACATATACATATTGCTACTTGCACTCACTCACTCGTGCGCCCACGGCGGCCAGGCTGCCGCGTTCACCTCACCTCCCACGCCAGGGAAAGGATGGGAAAGACAACCCATTCATTCCCTGGGGTTGTGCTTTTGCTTCTTCCTCCCCCACCCCCAAAACCAGGGGCAGCCCCCTCTCCTTGTGGGAAAAGCAGCTGGAAGATGGGAGCTCGCCACCAGCGTCGCCCCGTGCCAAACACACCTAGAGAAATAAATTACAGGATGGAAAGTGCACAAAGCCTGTGGGGTGCCCCCCTCCCCAGCGTGGGTCCCCCAGGCTGGGTACCGAGGTGGGGGGCGACCCCGGAGAGGGAGGGAAAATGGATGGAGCAGGCACTCAGGTGGGGGCTGATAAAATGGCACTTGAGAAGGCTGTGGAGCTGGTGATAGCTCCCAAAAGGCAGTAAAAATTCAGAACTGGAGGGCTGGTGAGATTGGGGGGCACAGCCTTGCCCAGCGCTGCTCGTCCAGGCAAGAGTCACACGGAGAGAGGGGGATAAAGAAACCCCATCTCTAGGGGAGGTTCAAGATGGCCACGCCATACCAGGCTGGAAAAGGGGAGGTTAACGTGGAAATGCTTTGTCCACAACAGCATGATCCAGCTGGGAGAAATGCCATCCTGAAAACTGAGCAGAGGATGGCATCGATGGCAGCACCCTGCAAGGAGACCACCCCATCCCTGCGGTGTCTGGTGAGCCCCCACAGCCCCCAGGGACACCCAGTGATTCCTGAGATATCCAACAGTGCCAGAGGGATCTCCCCTCTGTAGGATTCACATTTTAAAGGGCTGGGGGGTAAAAAAAACCCCAAGCAGTGCAAAGCACTTTCCCAGAGACACTCGGCCCCAGCCCAGAAAAAGTTGTTGGGGGTAAAGTGCCCCTTTTTAGTACCAAAAATAAAAGCAAGGGTGTTTTATAATGTATGGCTACATTGCTGTGAGTCCTGGCTGGTGGGTAGGGGATGTAGCCCCTGGCTGGAGGGCCAAGATGGAAGAAATCCATGCAGGAGAGACGTGGCCACGCTGGCTGATTCCAGCAGGGACTACATCAGACCCCTGGAGCAATGAAGGGGATGGGCTCCCAACGCTGTCCTTCACTGAATGCCAACACGTCCCAGGGAAACTCAAAGAACACCCTCCCCAGGGTGCAAGCACGTACATGATTTTAGGAGTGATGTTTCCCCCTCCTCCTGACAGGCTGCCCAAATTTTCCAGGGGAAGGGGGCAAAGGGGGTGACACAGCTCCACAACACCAAGCTGCTGGCAGTGGGAGGTTTGGGTAACAAGAGGGGAATTTTGTGAGGGCACGAGGCAGCAGAAGAGGCAAAGGGATGTTTTATAAAGAAGCCTGGTGGAGATCAGGCTGCTGGCAGGTGGAAGAAGAGGAGTAGGGCCGGATCCAGAAGGGATGCTCCGTCTGGCACATGCTGGGACCAGTCACCCACAAAGGGGGAGAAGACAGAGCTGCACTCCCCCAAAAAAAGAGGGGGAGGAGGAGGGCAGGGAGGGGATGCTGGTGGGGACCACTGCCACCTCCACCTCGCCGGGACGGATCCTGCTAAGCCGAATGGGGTGTGCACAGGTCTGGGGAGTCGCTGCCTCTCCGTGGTTCCCGCTCAGATATCCATCTCGAACTGAGCATCGTCCCCTGGCAAGAGGCGAGGAGAGCAGTGTTAGGGGCGTCATCCTCTACCCCAAATCCCTCCTGTCCCGCCCCGGGGGTCCCTTACCCATGGATGGCTTGCCCTCCTGGTGGTTCAAGCTGTTAGAGTCCGCTTTGGGCTCCTCGCCGGCCTCGCCGGGGCTGGTGACGCCGGGAATATTGGGGAGGTGACAAGGCGGGGTCTTGGCCATGGGGGAGTTGCGGCGGTCCAGCAGGAACTTGCGGTCGTAGATGATCCGGGTGCCTGGGGGGAGGACGGGAGCAGAGTGGGGGAATCCGGTTCGGCAGCGCTTGTTTGCCGAAGGAGTTTCCCGGCGGAACGGGCACCCCGTCCAAGGTTCTCCGCCACAGATCGGCGGGGAGGGCTGGGGGGTGCGCGCCGCCGCTCTGCCCGCTCTTATCTGGGCACAACAGGCGATAATTCCGCGCTGGCCAAACACCCCGGCGGTAACCGGGGCGCTCAACGCTGCCCCGGCGCAGCGACCGGGCAAACTCCGGGCAGGGGTGGGAACGCGTCCCGGGGATGCCGATGGAAGCGGCACCCCGGAACACCACGTGTCCCTGTCCGCTGCACAGGGACGGGGCATGTCACCACCCCGCGGTGCCGGAGCGGGGCAGGGCCGAGGCACCGAGCCCCCGGTGCCCGCGTTCCGCAGGAGCTTCCTGCCAGCCCGTCCCGGGATCCAGCTGCCGCCCCGCCGGGACCCTCCGCGCTCCCGGTACGTCCCGGAAAAACAACAAACCCATCTCCACGCGTGTGCATCGAGGAGAGCGGGCGGCAGGCGCTGCGTATCAGCGCCATACAGACGGGATATAAGCACGGTCCGCCCGCGACACGCGGCGCTCGGGGCGGCGGGGCTGGCCCGGGCGCGCTGCCCCGGAGGCCCCGGCGGGCGCGGCGCTTTTACCTCCCGGCGTGGTGGAGAAGAGCGTCCCGCCGGGGGTGGTGCAGTAGTCTGCGGGGAGTTGCGCGGCGTCGCTGAGCGTGACGGTGCGGGTGGGGATGGCCCGGCTCTGGCTGGGCTGGCGGCCGCCTGCGGACGACATGGCCCCCGCTCGGCGCCGCGCTTTGTCCCCGCCGAGCGGCGCGGGCGGAGCGGCCCCGCCCGGGCCCGCCCCGCCGGGCCCGCCGCCGCCAGGGGGCAGGCGCGGCGCCGCGTGGCTGTGTCCGCGCTTCCCACGTGGTCTAGCGGTGAGGATTCCTGGTTTTCACCCAGGCGGCCCGGGTTCGACTCCCGGCGTGGGAAGATGCTGTTTTGTTTTGTTTTTTGGGAGGGCGGGAAGGAAGGGTGATGGTGTGATGGTGTCCCGCCGTTCCGTCCTGTGCAGGATGCCTTCGGTCTGAATGTTTTGGCTAGAGCGAGCTGAATGAAGTCATCGGGTAAAGGAATGCATCCGTGTATCCCAAACCACAAAAGGGCTTGTATTCCCACATCCCAAACTAAGAAAGGGGCTGTATCCCCATATCCTATATCAGGAAAGGGGTTGTATCCCCATATCCCAAACCACAAAAGGGGTTGTAGCCCCACATCCCAAACCAAGAAAGGGGTTGTAGCCCCACATCCCAAACCAAGAAAGGGGTTGTAGCCCCATATCCTATATCAGGAAAGGGGTTGTATCCCCATATCCTAAACAACAAAAGGGGTTGTAGCCCCACATCCCAAACTAGGAAAGGGGTTGTATCCCCATATCCTATATCAGGAAAGGGGTTGTATCCCCATATCCCAAACCAAGAAAGGGCTTGTATCCCCATATCCCAAACCACAAAATGGCTTGTATCTCCATATCCCAAACCACAAAAGGGGTTGTATCCCCATATCCCAAACCACAAAAGGGCTTGTATCCCCATATCCCAAACCAAGAAAGGGGTTGTAGCCCCATATCCCAAACCAGGAAAGCGGTTGCAACCCTGTATTCCATACTAGGGAATAGCATTCATCTCCATATCCCAAACCAGGAAAAGGGCATGAATCCCTATATCCCAAATAAGGAAATGGGTTGCATCCCCTTATGTCAAACCAGGAAAAGGCATGCATCCCCATATCCCACACAAGGAAAATCCCTATATCCCAAATAAGGAAATGGGTTGCATCCCCTTATGTCAAACCAGGAAAGGGCATGCATCCCCATACCCCACACAAGGAAAAGGCACCTATGCCCATGTCCCAAACCAGGAAAATTGCATATCCAATACCAGGAAGGAGGATGCATCCAAATATCTCAGACCAGGAAAAGGGATGCATCCTCATTTCCCAAACCAAGAAAGGAGATGAATCCCCATATCCCAAGCCAAGGAATAGGATGCATCTATATACCCCAAAAGCACCATCCTGGAAAGCTGGGAATCTCACCCTGAGGGCCATGCTAGCCCCAGCACAGCCTCCCTCCCTCCCGGGAGCACTGATCCCGTCAGTTATTTTTAGTATCCCTCTCCCAGAGGCCAGAGTGGCTGGTTGCTCCCTCCAGCCCTGGATCCCCCGGCCCGGAGCGCATTCCCGGCGGAACCAGCCGCCCGCATGCACAAGAGGATGGGCGAGGCGGTCGCGCGGGTGGCCAGGAAGGTGAACGATACGGTGGAGAACAAAACGGATTCCCTGGGTAAGCCCAGCTCTCCGTCCCAGCTCCCACTTGGGCCCCGTTGAGGATCGGGTATCCGGGAGCAGGGCTCTAGTTTTCACTGCCACAGTCTAAAAAAAGCTGTTGGCGTTCCCTCCCCGCGGCTCTGGAGAAGAGAAGGGCTCCCCCAAAGGGTCCTCAGCCCCACAAAATCCCATGGGGTGTGTCCCCTCCTTGCAAGCAGTGGCAAGAGTAGATTTTTCCCCATGTGGCCTTGTCAGATTTGTTTTTTCCTGCAAATTCCCCATTTCCATCTAATGCCCAAGAGCAGAGTGCAGATCATCAAAGGGGAGAGATGAAAGCCACTCATTTTTATTCCCACTGGATTCCCGGCCCTGGGATATAAACCAGCGTGTGCCGGGAGCTGGAGCTTCATTGCTCAGGCTCTCCACATCCTCCTGAGAGAAACGTGGAGGATGGAACATCAGCCCTGTGGTGGCTTTGGGAAGGGGGCAGGAAGCAGAGCCCATCCTGGGGCTGAGATACAGGTTTTCTATCCGTGGAGTTTCCTGAGAGGCGAAACAGAAACAACTCAGGACAAAACAAGAAGACCACGAGGTGAGAAGCACAACCAAATCTTTTTTCCTGTCCCCACCGCTTGCCATGGGATAACCACCCATGACCATGAGGAATCCAGCCAGGAGCATGCCCAGGGAAATCCATCCTCTTCAGCGGTGGAATAAGCATCCCCGGGCTGCTCAGCTACCCCCAGGGAATTAGGGACACAGGGGAGCAGGAGGACTGAAGTTGTTGGACCCTTGTCTGGGCCCCTCTGTGCGCAGATCTGGCCAGCTGCAAACTGATGACCTTCCCTGTTGGAATCTACAAAGCCATGAGGAGCGTCACCGAGGGGATCCAGCGCATCTCCCTGGCCAACAATGAGCTCAAGTCCATCACCAGCCGGTTCATCACCACCTTCAGCCAGCTGAGAGGTAAGGGACTGCTACTTCCAACCCTCTGGGATGCTCCAGGAGCCCCCAGGCTGCTGCAGAGGGAGCAAAGCACCAAGACTCTCCCCTGAGCTCACACCTCATTGCAAGCATTAGTTCAGACCCCAAAATATCAATTTTTCCTTATACCTTCTGCACCTTGAAGGTTCTGCTCTCACCCCCCCTTCCAAACTGGTATCAGGATGCTGTGGAGTCACTGATCACCCCCCAGATCCCTCCGAGGATGGGGCTGAGGATAGAGGAGGACAGGAAAGGCAGCTTGGGGATAACAGAGCATGGCAATCCAGGCTCTGCCGACTAATTAGTCCTCGTCCTGAGACATCAATGAGAGTTAATCACTGCAGGAGATGAGAACGATCATCAGCACCGCGGGGACACCTCCCTGCGGAGCCAGAGAAGGCAGCCCGAGGCTAATCCATTAAAAAATGGCCATGCAAACATCCAGAGCATCCAGCACCACGGTATTGAGCACCGAGGACGGCGCTGGGGATGCTCTGGCAGCTTCTAAAATCAATTTTGTTCCTACAACATACCGCACAAATGCCACTGTGGTGAGTGCCTGGGAAGGCTTCCCTTGTTCTGGAGCTGGAGCATCGCCTGTGAGAACACCCCTAGACTGGGGAAAGGAAATATATCCAGCAAAGGAAATCAGTTTTCATTTTCTAGACAGCACAACAAACCCTGAAAGGAAAAATTTACTTTGTTTCCCAGCAAGGGCTTTGCTCCATCGGTGAACCAATCACTCGTGCGGTGATCTGTGCTGGGTCTGAGCAGGAACAGATGCCCCAGGGCTGGGGACAGGCTGAATAAGGCAGGACCTATAAATGCCAGGTATTAGCAGGGGCAGAGCAGCTTGTGTGGGTATTTATAGTGCAGAAAGCTCTGTGTCACTGGAGAAGGGCACTGGGGCAGCAGGATTTGGGTTCTGTTCCAAGGAGTGCTACTCCTGGCCCCACAGGAGCTCATTTCTGGGGTGGGAAAGCATCACAGATGCGTAAACTGCAAAAAATATTTTTTTTTCTCATGTAAAGACCTTTCTTCCATTGTTCTGTTTATTCCTCAAAAGGAGTCCAAGCACATGAATATAGAGAGCTTAAGCCATGACAAATGTCCGTTGGGGAGGTAATTGCACTGACTTTATGAGGAAATATTCCTTATTTTTTACGGACCCTGCTTGCAAAAGGCCGCCCAATTTCATTAGGAAAGCCTGAGGAAACAAACAAAAGCGTTCCTCCTAAATGTGGTATTCCCAGCAGGCAAATCCACAATCACAACCACGGAAAACAGCAAAAGAAAAAACCCAAATTTTGGGGCTGGAATCCCACTGATGGACCTGGCAGTCCACGGGGGCCAGAGGCTGTAAGCGAGCTGTACATTAATTATTTCCCCATCTTTTTCCCTGCATCCCACCACCTCCTTTCTCTCTTGGCAGAGCTCAACCTGGCAGGCAATTCCCTGCACCGGCTGCCCGAGGAAATGGGTTCCCTGCTGCACCTCCGATCCATCGACCTCTCCCGCAACAGGTTCCGGCGCTTCCCGGAGCCCCTGGCCAGCGCCCCCGCCCTGGAGACCATCGACCTGGAACAGAACCAGATCGCAGGTGATTTGGAAAAAGGTGGTTTAGCATCACCCGAGGGGTGTTGTTAAATCATCAAATCCTGCTTAGCTATTTCCCTTTCCCGGGAAAGGAAATTTGCCTCCCAGGGAAAAGCTGCTGCAGGCACAGTGGGAACCAAGCCCCGTTCAAGCTGCCCTATTCACCACGCTGGCATGGAGCTCTTAAAGGCACCTCCAGCTGGGGTGAGCCAAAATCATCAGATTTCGTTAAAAAACCAGAGCTGATTGCAGAACCCGGCCCTGGGAATGCTTGGCTGCGATGTTTGCTGCCAGCCTAAGCAAGGACGTGAGCCCACCTGAACTTTCCCAGAACAAACAGCAGCTGTTTAACACTATAAAATCCCCTAAAAATTCAATTAAAGGAATGGTAAGAGCTGCTCATCCCTCAGCTCTGCAGTGGCAGGACATTTTTTCATGTGCAAAAAGCTTAAGGCTTTGGAGTCTGTGAAAGCTGGGCAAAGGGGGCAGCTGTTGTACACAGATAAAAGTGAATTTATTTAGCAGGCAGCTTTCAAAGAGCCCAGGCTGGAGCATCCCACAACCCCCACGGACCCCCAGGGAGGCGAATATCTGAGTCCACTCAGTTTTGCTGTTTTATCTGGGATTGCTTCAGCTGCTGCTGGGAAAGCTGCTCCCTGCAACACGAGGTTTATTAACAGCCTCACATCAGCTGCTCCCCAGCTGGGCCTGTAGAAACACTGGAATTAAAAACTGCTTCCACAGGAGCCAGAGAAAAACATGGCTTTTCCTCACCCTCTTTTTCTCTCCTGCCTCCTGGAGAGAGCTGTCTCACTTTTAGTTCCCTCCTCCACTTTTTGAGTTCAACTGGCTGATTTCCATCCGAGCTGGTCTCCGAACAGCATTTTCCCCACTTGTTGTGTGGAAGCAGGATGCTGCCAGAAGGGAATGCAGCTTTTGATGCCTTTTCCCTGCTAATATGCAGGGAGGAAAGGCTGCATCCAGGGTTGTACCCAAGCTGGATTGATCCCAGGGGAGGGGGTGGCTTGGAGCCCAAGCTGGGTCACCTCCCACCTCAGCTCGGAGGTGTCCTCCAGATGTGGGGAAAATAAAAACAGAGTAAAATTTGACCATTTCAAGGCATAATGTTGTAGGGATATGTCTGAGTAGTGCACACCACTCTGTCTGGCTGCAGAAATAGGTGATGTGAGCGTATTTTACACATTTTCTGGAAAGGGAAGAGGTAGAGATCAGAAAGCCAGAGGGTTTCAGCCTTACCTGGACAGTCACACTGCTACCACCAGCCCTTCCCAAATAGGTTCCCCTGCACGTGAGCTGGTGTTTGTAGGGTTGCAGATGCCCTGGTTTGTGGTGCTGTGCCAGTGCTGATCCTGCCTGTCCTCCTGTGCCATCCCAGAGATGCTGGAGAGCTCCTACTAGGGCTGCAAATCTGATTTAAAAGCTCCTGCTGAAACAGCTGAGTGACTTGCTAAGACATATTGAGCTGGAGTTGGTAGGTGATGTTTTCCAAAGGGAAACAGGAGTGAAAGGAGATTAATTAATGCCTGCCTGGAGCCTGTGGGCTCTGTGAAGGAGACATTTAGTGCCACAAGCCAGCCTTTTCATCTGAATAAACTGTAATTATGTATATATTACTGTCAGTGCTTTTAACTCTTTCTCTGGTAATTAGATTTATATCAAATCAACGTTTAAAGCTCCCAAATCCATGGGGATATTTTGGTGCCAGGAGCTTCAGCTTCTCTTTCTCTTATGTCTTGACTAATGGTTTAATAGGGATGATGTTGAGACTGCTGCCAAGGCTGGGGAGGTCACTGCTGGGGGCAGCTGTGGTTAATTTTGTCCTCCTGAGAATGTCGAGATGGGACAAAGGGGGGTGGTTTCAAACTCAGAGTAGGGCTAGATGGGATATTGGGAATAAATTCTTCCCTGTCAGGGTGATGAGACACTGACACAGAGACACTGTGCATTCCTGGCAGTGTCCAAGGCCAGGCTGGATGGGGCTGACAGCAAGCTGGGACAGTGGAAGCTGTCCCTGCCTCCATCCAGGGAGGGGGCTGGATGAGCTTTAAGGCCCATTCCACTCACTTATTGTCACATTCTGCTTTAATGATGTAAAGAAGCCTTTTCCCTCCGTTTTTTGCTTAATTGGTGAAGCCAGCATGAATAATTCAGGATCAAATGCAAGTGCCTCATCCATTGGGAAGGCAGCAAGGAATTCTTTGGGTTGTTTTTCGAGGGATTTGTGGCTCACAGGGCACAACCCCACAGCTATAGGCTGCACCATGTGCCCTGCCTGTCCCTTCATGCCAGGGGTGAGTCACTGCTCCTCACCCTGAATTAAGGAGCAGAGCTGAGCTGTTCCCAGCCTGGGAAGATCTTGGTCCCCAAAATACTTTACTAAACTCCCTAATTGAAGCAAAATGGGTGAAAGCACTTTTAACTTTATCGTGCTGCATAAGAGGATGATTAAACTTATTCTCCACTGTTTTAGACGATGATTAAAAAGGAAGATGTATGAAAAAATATATTACTTTGATGCTTCAGGGGAAAAAAAATAGCAAAATGATACAGGGGAATGGCTGTGAACAAATCCACGATGAAGAAGAGTTATTAAAAAAATTCATGTGAAGCTCTGCCTGATGAGCTATGTGCTCCTAGGGAATTTGTGTATGGAAAATAACACCATTTTCTGGAGGACAAAAAGGGAAAAAACAAAGGCATTGAAGTCTTTGAGTATTTTTCCAGCATAAAATATGTTTCATGGTTTAAAAATTACATAATCATCTACCAGATATAATTACAACATCACAATTCTGCTCCAGGTGCTGGCAGAGGAAGCAGGAGCTGGGATAGAAAAGGCTCTTGTCATTTTGGTGGCCAAATTATAAAGAAATTGGTCTAGGTAAATCAGCCAAGTGGGCTTTGCTAGCTCAAAATATTGTGAATTGTAGCAAAATCTGTCACCTTTTAATGAGCTTAATTAGGTTGAGGTTTTCATATTGGTCTCATTCCTCTGCTCTCAGTGGATTCACATTGGGACAATCCAGCTGAGCTGCACCTTTTTTTTTAATGCAGAGTTTGTAAATGTCATGTTTTCTGAAGGACAACATCCAAACTCGTGGAAATTGCAAAATAGAAGGGTGCCTCTTGATAGCTGAGAGCCATTTTGCAGCCTGTCCAACAAGGGCAAAGACCATGTGCCTTCCTGTTAGCTTGGAGAGGACTCCTGGGCATTGCAACACTGGGGATAAAATCAGGGAATAAGTCTTTGAATCCCAATTTAATGTCCCAGCAGGGGTTTTATTAGTGCTGGGAGAACTGGGGGGGCAGTGCCCACACTGGATATCTTCATGTTTGCAGTTTGCTGACACATTCCTTAGAATCACAGGATCATTTATGTTGGAAAAGACCTCTAAGACTATTGAGTCCAACCAATACCCATTTGCCTGAGCAGTTGGATAAATGAATATTTCACTGTGTTTCTGTTTTGCTCAAAGCCTGCAGACAGGCTGTCCATCAAAAGGATCTTTCATCCCCTCCACCCCTCCAGGACAGGTTCTCACCTCCGTGCTCTCTTTCCAGAGGTGCCGACGGATAAATTGGCCTCCATGGCATCGCTGCGGAGCCTCAACCTGCGGGCGAACCCCGTCAGCCCTGAGGTGCGGCTGCTGGTCCGGCCCCTGGTTCCCTTCGACCTGCTGCTGTCTCCAGAGGAGCCCATCCCCAGAGCCTGACAGGATCCCAGGGTGCCCAAGCTGTCCCGAGGGGTGACTGCCCACCAGAGTGGTTTGGCTTAGGTCAGTCCCTGCTACGCCCCCGTTTCTGCCCCGAAGCTGCAGCCAGAGGGTCCCAAACCCGGGCAAGTGCCTCGATTTTCCTAAATTAAAAGCAAGCAGTGGGGCTCCCCCGTGAAGGGAGAAAATCCCGAGCCAGGCAATCTCCTGCTTATGCGTTTTGGGGGTGCAGAGGAGCTGCAACACATGTGCTGGGAGGTTTGGGTAGAGCTGGGGGGAATCCAGATGTTCAGCCTGCCACCCAGGCACTGACGGGGAGCAGTGGGATGGTGGAGGATATCCCTGCAGCTGTAAGGGTTCTCCCTGGAACTGCTGACAAAGTGGTGGTGTGCCAAGTGCCTGATTAAATGCTTTCCTGTTACACTGGGGGCTTTGTATCTGATTAAATTTGAATTACCAGTCTTGTCCTTAGAGAAGTCCCTTCGCTCAGCTGCTCACTGCAGCCTCCAACTGGATTCTCCCAGATTCATCCCTGGAAAAATCCTTGTTTTCTAAGAAATTTTTCTTCCCTTCCCCTGGAAGCCAAAGTGACCCAATGCCAGTAGGTCCCCACACGCTGCTCACCCCGTGGCTGTCCCCAGAAGTGTGTGCCCACCTCTTGGGTGCTGTGGGTCCTCAAGTTGTGCTGATTCCCTTCCCAGGAAGAAATGTCCTGGAGAGAGTGGCTTCTTGGCTTGGCTTGGCCACTGCCAAGCACAGCCATGTCCCTGAGCAGCTGGCTGCCTGCAAAAGAAAACTCCTGGGAGCAACTCCAGGTGTTATCTCAGAATGCCTTGTTTAAACATCTCCCTTGTTTGTTCCTTTTTTTATTTAAGGGACAAATACTTCCCAATGCTGTGTGCGGGCTGGGGACAGCCAGGAACAGTAAATCCTGTAAATATTTGACTTCTAGTCTTGCCAAACTTTGATAAAAAATTATGGTAAGAGATGTTGGGCATGCCAGAGGAGCTGCCTGAAACCAGGACCAGCATCTCTAAACATCGTGTTGCTTTTCCCTCTGTGCGGACTGATGGGTGGGGGATCTCCCCACTCGTTTTGAGGCTCCTGGCATATTTTCCTCCCGGGATGGACAGGAGCGCTGCTGGGGACAGCAGCGATCAGCTGCCAGCATCGCTGTGGGGACCTCGGTGGCAGCGAGGGGGCACAGAGCCGGAGCATCCCTAGGGAGCGAACCTGCTCCCTCCCTCTCCTTGCCCGCGTGGGTAAGCGTCGGGTCCCGGGTATCCATGGCGATAGGAGGCTCTTTCCCCCCGCACCCCCTCCCCTTCTCCGCTGCAGCCGGCGAGCAGCCGCAACCGGCGCGGCGGCTCCGGGGCTCCGGGGCTCCGGAGCGGGCGGGAGGAACGGAGCGAGGGACGGGGGCGAACTGCGCTCCCTCCCCGGGCAGCACATCGCCTTCTGCACGGGAGCGATGCAGCCCCCGGAGCCGGGTCGGGCCGGCGGAGGTGAGTGCTAAGATCTGATTGATTTTATCCTCCCAGGAAAGCTATCCACCCCTCATGTCAGCCCCCTGTTCCATCAGACCAGCCTTTCCCCGCGGTGGTTCCCCACAGCCGGGCAGTCCATCGTCCCCCTGCGGTCCCCCCATCCCCTTTTCACCACATCAGGCGGTGTCAGTCAGTGCTGAGCTCAGGATGCCTTCATCCATCCATCCATCCATCCATCCACCCATCCATCCATCCATCCATCCATCCATCCATCCATCCATCCATCCATCATCCATCCATCCATCCATCCATCCATCCATCCATCCATCCATCCATCCATCCATCCATCCATCCATTCCTCCACCCATCCATCCATCTATCCACTCACTCATCCGTTCAGCACCACCCGGGTGCTCAGCAGCCCCTTGTTTTCCTTTCCCCGTCTTCCACCTCGCTTTAAAACCAACTCCAATTCTATAGGATACCAACCTACTGCTCATGCTGCACTGCAGCCCCAAAAAAATAAAGTCCAGCAAAGTTTTAGGCTTAATATCACAGGTTTTGGGCAATCTCATTGCAGTGGTCGTTATTGCTCCTGCTTACTGAGCTGGTTCAGGCATCTGATACTGACCTGCGGGCGCCTAGGCTGAGCCTTAAAGCTAAAATGTGCCTTTCCTCGGCTCACCACTGCAGCGTGGATTCTCCCGGAGTCAGTCCCGTCACCGCTGCAGCAGCTCCTGCCCACGCCCGGCATCCTCCCGCATCGCTGCCGGTGTGCGCCCGGGGAAGCCCGAGGGTGGGACCTGCAGAGCCCCGCTCCCCGTTCAGTCCTGGTGACAAAATACCACCCCCGCGCCTCCACCAGGACCTCCCGGATAAGGATCAGAAAGACAATTATCGCTTTAGATGTGAGAGGAGGGGAGGGTGTCCTCTGCCTCAGCCGCTTTCCTCTGGTTCTTGCGGCTTTGCCGGGGAGAATAGGATTTTGCGGAATATCGAATTGAAAACCCGGGGGCAGGGATGGTCCCAGGCCAGCCGTGACTGGGACCGCACGGATACAACTCCCATAAGGCCGGAGCACTGGAGTGTCAGGATGTGGATTTGTCTTCCTTGCATCATCCCTAAAAAAAAGGCCCACGAGATTAGGATGTCTTCTGGGCCGCCCTAATTCCTCATCAAAAGAATGATGCAGATAATAATGATATAAAGTAATAACGATATCAAACAATAATTGTATCAAATAATAATTACATTGATGGTATAAAATAATAATGATTTAAAATAATTCAGCCGAGGTGCTGCAAAACCTTGAGCTGTGTAACCCAAGGAGGGGGAGACTTGTTGGGGCATGGAGATGAGTCCAGCAGGACATGTCCCAGCTAGTCTGGGCACTGGAATAAATATGAAAACCCACCTCTGGAGGCATAAGAAATGAAGGGAATAATTGCTTTATTCTCTCCTGGCTTCATTTTCCTGCTTTCCCTTCCCCAGGCCCTTCCAATGGCACCTGGTGGCCCAACTCCAGCGCCAGCCATCTCCTGAGGGAGAACTCCACCTTCCTGGCGTACTACCAGCATTCCTCCCCCGTGGCTCTCATGTTTATCCTGGCCTACACCTTCATCTTCCTCATGTGCGTGATCGGCAATGTCCTGGTGTGCTTCGTGGTGGTGAAGAACCGCCAGATGCGCACGGTCACCAACATGTTCCTCCTCAACCTGGCCATCAGTGACCTGCTGGTGGGCATCTTCTGCATGCCCACTACCCTGGTGGACAACCTCATCACAGGTGAGCAAGGCAGAGGAAGGGGGAAAGACCGTTTGTTTTTGGTTTTTTTTTGAGGTTCTGGCCATTTGTGGTAAAATAAGTCTGGCCCTAATGCTGCATTTGTATATTTGTTTGAAGTTCAGCCATTCTTTACCAAGCAACACTGAAAAAAACTCCTTTCTACATTCACCTTCCACTGTGCTGGCTCAGCTCTGCCTGTTGACCTTTCCAAAGATAAGGCACTGGGAGGGTTCAGCTGCAGCAGCAGCCAGGCCATAGGGCAGGGTTTGTATCTATTGATTATGGGGTGGGATTTATTTATGGTCTTGGTATTGGGGTCAAGAAACAAGATGAAAGTCCTTCTGATTGAGGGTCCCAAAGTTAGTAGGAAGAATGACAGCCACCATGTTCCTTGAGTTTCTAAGTGTAATGTGCATCCTTTTTACCAGTTTTGGGGTTCTTCTTTAAGGATCCATGCTGCTAAAGGCTATCTCCACACAAGACCCCTCTTAGGAGCAGGACTTAGCATCCCCCAGCAACAACACAGTGGATGGGGACACCTAAAGGGAGCTGGGTGAGCCAGAGGCACCTACAGCCTCCACAGTGTCCCCTCACAGGTTGGCCCTTTGACAACATCACGTGCAAAATGAGCGGCCTGGTGCAGGGCATGTCCGTCTCCGCCTCTGTTTTCACGCTGGTCGCCATTGCTGTGGAGAGGTATGTTGGCACGGGGACGTGGGGACATGGGGACATGGGGTCCAAGCAATTTCCAGCAGGTCCAGGTGGCCTGTGCGGTTCCCATTGCGGGGAAGCTCTTGGGAATGTCAGGAGCCTGTCACAGCTCTCCAGGAGGACCACAGAGCTGTGCATGGGGCATTCCAGCAAGATGTCCTTCCCCACACGGGGCTGAAAGCACCAACTTATCTCTGCCACCAAAGGACACGTGTAAAGAGCAACCCACCTTGCCCTCCATTCCCACCCCTGGGTCCTGGCTGCCCTCCTTCCCCAGGGATGTCCCCACCAGGTGCCCAAAGCTACCATCAGCTGTTCTCCCACAGGTTTCGCTGCATCGTCCACCCCTTCCGGCAGAAGCTGACCCTGAGGAAAGCCCTGCTGACCATCGCCATCATCTGGGTGCTGGCCTTGCTCATCATGTGTCCTGCTGCCGTCACCCTGACTGTCACCAGGGAGGAGCACCACTTCATGGTGGACACCTACAACAACTCCTACCCTCTCTACTCCTGTTGGGAGGCCTGGCCTGAGACGGGGATGAGGAGGATCTACACCACCATCCTCTTCTCCCACATCTACGTGGCTCCCCTCGCCCTCATCGTCATCATGTACGCCCGCATCGCCTTCAAGCTCTTCAAGTCAGTGGCGCCCACCCATGGCGGAGAGGAGACGGAGGGGAGGAGGATCTCCCGGAGGAAGGCCAAGGTCATCAACATGCTCATCATTGTTGCCCTCTTCTTCACCATCTCCTGGCTGCCCCTCTGGACGCTGATGTTGCTGACGGACTACGGGCAGCTGAGCGAGGGCCAGCTGCGCCTGCTCACCGTCTACGTCTACCCGTTCGCCCACTGGTTGGCCTTCTTCAACAGCAGCGCCAACCCCATCATCTACGGCTACTTCAACGAGAACTTCCGCCGGGGCTTCCAGGAGGTCTTCAGGGCCCCACTCTGCTCGCTCCACGGCCAGCGCAGGCCCTACACCCCCCGCAGCCACGGCCACGGGACCCTCTTTGGCACTCGCAACCGCATCTTCACCCAGGTGCGAACCAGCGACTCACCAGCCGTGTCCGAGTCAGGGCCACTGGCCCCGCGCCACGCTGGTGCCCCTGCATGGGACGGCTGAGGAGCTGTGGCCACCAAACCCCTCTGGACCAAGGGCTTGCGGGGTGGGGAGTGGGGACTTGTCACGTTATGGTTATGGCCACGAGACATGGAAATAAAGGTGTGTCCTACTGTTGCCTTGTTCCTGGCTAGGCTCCTCCACTTCCCCCACAGCACCATCCAGAGGACCCCTGGCTGAGCCCCCTGAGCCCTGCCAGAACCCCCCTTACCCACCCCAGTCCAGGCACAGGGCCAGGGGATGCAGGGATCCTGTCCATGCTTGGCCATGCTAGGGAGAGGCATGCAGCACCATGCTGTGCTGGACCAAGCCATGCCATGTGGGACCGTGTCAAACCACGCTGCCATGGCCGTGCCAGGCAGGACCAAGCCATATTGTGCTGGACTGTGCTACCCCATGGCCATGGGGAACGGACCATTCCATGGCCATTCCATGGATGGGCGATGCTGTGGCCATGGTGTAATGAGGCATCCCACAGTGCTCTGGCCATGCTGGACCAAGCTGGGCTGGACCACGCCATCCCATGCTATAGTGACCCTGCTAGACCAAAGCATGCCATGCAGGACAATGCCACCCCTTGCATTTGTGGCCATTCTGGACCATCCCACCATACTGCAGTGGCTGTGCCATGCTGGACCAAGCCATGGCATGCCAGTCCATGCCACCCCAGGCTGTTATCATGCCATGCTGGATTGTGCCAGTATTGCCATGCAGGATCATGCCAGCGCTTGCTACTATGGCCATACTGAACTATGCTGGGCTAGGACCAGGCTGTGCGGGTCCATGACAGCCCAGGCTGTTCTGGTCATGGCGAGCAGGACCATTCCCAGGCGGGCCAGGCCATTCCCAACCGGGACCGGGCCATTCCCACCGGGAGCGGACCATTCCCACCGGGACCGGGCCATTCCCACCAGGACCGGAGCATTCCCATCAGGACCGGACCATTCCCGCCGGGCCGGGCTAGTCCCACCGGGGCCGGACCATTCCCACCGGGACGGACCGTTCCCACCGGGGCCGGACCATTCCCAGCCGGACCGGACCGTTCCCACCGGGATCGGGCCATTCCCAACCGGGCCGGACCATTCCCCGCCGGGCCGGACCGTTCCCACCGGGACCGGACCATTCCCACCGGAACCGGACCGTTCCCACCGGGGCCGGGCCATTCCCACCGGGCCCGGACCATTCGCAGCCGGGCCGGGCCATTCCCACCGGGACCAGCCATTCCCACCGGGACCGGACCGCTCCCACCGGGACCGGATCGTTCCCACCGGGACCGGACCGTTCCCACCGGGGCTGGGCCATTCCCACTGGGACCGGACAATTCCCAGCCGGGCCAGGCCATTCCCAGCCGGGGCCGGACCGTTCCCACCGGGACCGGACCGTTCCCACCGGGCCGGACCATTCCCACCAGGACCGGGCCATTCCCACCGGAGCCGGGCCGTTCCCACCGGGGCCGGACCATTCCCACCGGGGCTGGAGCATTCTCACAGGGGCTGGGCCATTCCCACCGGGACCGGACCGTTCCCCACCGGTCCGGGCCGTTCCCACCGGGACCGGGCCATTCCCACCTGGACCGGACCATTCCCGCCGGGGCCGGGCCATTCCCCGCCGGGCCGGACCGTTCCCAGCTGGGCCAGACCGTTCCCACCGGCACCGGACCGTTCCCCACCGGGCCGGGCCGTTCCCACCGGGACCAGACCGTTCCCACCGGGACCGGACCGTTCGCACCGGGACCGGGCCATTCCCACCGGGGCCGGGCCATTCCCACCGGGGCCGGACCGTTCCTACCGGGACCTGACCGTTCCCACCCGGACCGGACCGTTCCCAGCCGGACCGGACCGTTCCCACCGGGACCGGACCGTTCCCAGCCGGGCCGGACCATTCCCACCGGGACCGGGCCATTCCCACCGGGGCCGGACCGTTCCTACCGGGACCTGACCGTTCCCACCCGGACCGGACCGTTCCCAGCCGGACCGGACCGTTCCCACCGGGACCGGACCATTCCCACCGGGACCGGACCGTTCCCAGCCGGACCATTCCCACCGGGGCTGGACCATTCCCAGCCGGACCGGACCGTTCCCACCGGGACCGGACCGTTCCCCGCCGCGCCGCGTGGCGCGGGGCGGGCCGAGTGCGCGTGCGCGCTCGCGGGGGCGGCGCCTGCGCAGTGCCCCCCACACCCCCCGGCGGCGGCGGCGAGCGCGGGCGCGGCGATGTCGCGGTACGGCGTGGAGGAGCGCGCCGGGCCCCACAGCCCCGAGTACCGGCTCTTCTTCAGTGAGTGCTGCGGCCCCGCCGACCCCCCCGCACCCCCTGCCCCTCCGCTGCCCGCCAGCGCCCGCCTGAGCCCGCTCCGGTGAGCGCTGCCGGGCGTCTGACTCCGGGCTCCCTCCCCTTGCCTTGCAGAGGATGCCGCCGGGCGCTACATCTCCCCCTTCCACGATATCCCCATCTACGCGGACGCCGGGAAGGTAAGAGGAGGTCTTGAGACACGCAGGGGATCGGGGAGTCCTGAAACATCCGGGAGATCCGCGGTACTGAAACATCCCGGGGATCAGGGGATCTGGGAACACACAGGGAGGGGATCAAGGGTGCTGAAACATCCCGGGGATCAGGGGATCTGGGAACACACAGGGGATCAGGGGTGCTGAAACATCCCGGGGATCAGGGGGTCTGGGAACACACAGGGGATCAGGGGTGCTGAAACATCCCGGGGATCAAGGGATCTGGGAACACACAGGGGATCAGGGGTGCTGAAACATCCCGGGGATCAGGGGATCTGGGAACACACAGGGGATCAGGGGTGCTGAAACATCCCAGAGACCAGGGCATCGGGGAACATCCCAGGGACCAGGGGATTTGGGTGTGATCAGGGAATCCTGAAACATGCAAGGAACCAGGGGGTCCTGCAGCCTAAGGCACCCAGGGGAGGCTCACCCTACAAGGAATGGGTTTCTTGCTGTCCTGGCCTCGGGTGGAGCAACCCAGGAGAAGAGAATGGATGATCTCATTCTCATTTTTTGCATCAGAGATGCGAGTGGTTGGCTTGAGCTTACCCATGCAGGCATTTTGGGTTAGCTAAGCAGAAAACTGCTTTTTTTTGTAATATCTATCCCCATTCTTATGGGTGCTGCATGATATTTCAGGCTTGGGGTTTGGCTGCAGTATGGCCTAAAGTATAATACAACAAAGAACAGAGAGTGAAGATGAGCAGGTTAAATTCCTGCTGTAACATCTCCTGGGACCTCTTGCCTGGCAGAACCTGCCCCTTGCAGTGCTGCAGGGCTTTCACATCCTTCTTGCAGACAGTGGTTAGTCAAATTAGGCTGTTGTGAGCAAAAAATGCCCCAGCTTCAGGAAATCAAAATGGTTGTGTTTCAGTTTTCATTTAATGTTTTTTCAGTGGTACCTCGGGCTCTCTGAGTGTTTCCTTTACTGTTGTAGCTTGTTTCTTTCTCTGACTATAAAGCTGTGCAGCTCGGGAAATGTAGTGGAGCAGCTACTACTTGTTAGAGAGAGCTGAAATTCAGAGGTGGAGCGTGGTTCTGGTAAAGGAAGAAAGAATATGCAGAGCTGAGAGATGAATCTCTAAAAAGCAGCTGATTGAGCTGCTGAGGTGAAGGTGATGGAGCTACCTGAGGTGCTCTGGGAAGTCTGTAGTGGCTTTTGCCTTCACAGAGGAGAAAAGATGGATTGTGGTCATCAAGGACTCAGCAGTGGCTGAGTAGGGAGGCAGTTCCCAGTGCAGGTGCCTGGCAGGAAACCCAGCCAAGGAAAATGCAGCTAGTGCCACGCTTTGCAGGCACCTGCAGAACAGGGAAGGAAGGAGCAGGGGAGTGTGTACAGAGGTGAGGGGGAGTTCCTTGAACTGGTAGTGCTTATCAGGGGAAATTGGTGTGCCCTCAGGCATGCAGAGCTGCTGCCAGCACCTCTGTGCCAAGTCATTCAGAGAAAAAAGTCCCAGTAGCTGAAGGTCACAGTCGCCAAAGTTACACAATAGTGCTGGTCCCATGGGGCTCTCTCTGTGGCTGGGAGTGCCTCAGCACTGAGGTTTTACTCATCATTTAGCAGGTGGGCTGCCAGCTACATTGCAGGGCCCAGCTCAGAGCAAAAGGTTGTCCCACTCTGTCTGGGCTCCTTGATCCTTATCCTCAGACTCCTAAGACACTGAGAGGATTGCAGATTGTGTTTTTTTCAGTCTCAGGCTGGGCTGTGTTGACCTTACCTGGACCTGTATCATTGCAAAGGGATGCCCTTGAGCTGCTCTCTGTGTGTCTTTGGCCAAGTTGGACCATGGGGAAGCTGCAGTACTTACAAAGATGCAGCCCCAAGTCATCTTTCCCTGCCTGCAAAGCCAGAAGCTCCCAGCTCAGCCTGTTCCAGTTGCCTCATTCCTTCCCTCGAGTTAGGAATAAAAATAGTTCTGTACCTTTCTACATGCAAAATGCAAATGAGCAGTGACCCCCTGCAATCAAGGGGTTGTAATAAAGCTCTGCTAGGGAAGGGTGTGGGCAAAGTCAGTGATGTAACAGCACTTGTTGCACAGTGTCAATCCAATTATGGGGCAATACAGGTTCGAGGGACTTTGCCATGCTAATAGTGCTTAAGGAGGGGATTGCCCAGGCCAGGGAGCAAGGTTTGACTTTTTGTTACTAGGCTATAATCTCTTCAAACAGCAGATGTTAAGGTACAGGTGTGGAAAAGCTTGTTTTCTTGGAGAGGAGGCTGACATTGAACTCTCAGGCCAGCTGGATCAACAGGAGATGTTTTCGAGTGTCACCTCTAAAAGAGATACAGTGAGATGTGGTTCTGCATTTCTCCTCCACATTTTTATCCTCACATCATGCCACTAGCAATGTCTGCTTTTACAGGAGTGTCAGCCTGGGGAAAGGGCATCCTTCCCTACATTATGACTAGAATATTTGGGAGTGATGGTCTCACTCATTCAAGGCAGTACATAAATACCCACACTATTTAATAGATGGCTTGTCATATTGGTGTTGTCTTTTCTGAATGGCCAGAGTGGCTCTTTCTGGAGCATTAAACACTTTGTATTTAATAAATAAGGTCTAAACCCCATTTTGTTATGTCCAGGATAGTTTGTGTGAAGCTGTTTG